ATTTTTTTAAATATATTTTTTATTGATTTCAGAGCGGAAGGGAGAGGGAGATGGAAACATCAATGATGAGAGACAGCAATCGGCTGCCTCTTGCACGCCCCCTACTGGGGATGGAGCCCGCACCCGGCCTGTGCCCTGGACCTGAATGGAACCTGGGACCCTTCAGTTCTCAGGCCGTGGCTCTTATATGTGTTTTGCGATGGTCTTAGGCGACCCCTGTGAAAGGGTCGCGCGACCCACAGGTTGGCGACCCACAGGTTGAGAACCGCTGCTCTAGCCACTGAGCCACACCAGCTAGGGCTTGGTGGCCCTTCTAACCGGGAGAGCTGAGAGAGTCTCTGCGCCAGGGAGGTAATCGGAGGCACCTCTATAATTGCAGCATCTCAAAACCTTCGTCATCAGGAAAGCGGTGGAGAAGCATCATCCACCGTCTACACCCCACCAGAGATCACCACTTACTATTTGATGAGTCTTCCGGGTCCTCTTTTCTCTGAGTATTTCGTACGCAGTTTAGATAAAACTGTGGACTCTGCTTTCCCCCTGATACATGGGCGTTTAGAGCATGAAGGTGTCTTTCGTTTTGTTTGTTCGGTCCGACCTGGTATTGTCCATCCTTGAGCTTTACCTGCTGTTTGCCTTCCAGATTCTTCAGGGCCATGAAAGAGCCAACACCATGGTGGCGTTAATGGAAGTTTATGGAGAGGAAGATGAAGCATACCAGGAATTTGTTACCGCGGCAACCACGTTCTTCCAGTACTTACTGAAGCCGTTTAGGGATATGCGAGAAGTTGCAGCTTCGTGTAAGAGTGATATTTTGGTATGTTTTCTTTACGTTTTTCCTTTATCTGAGTTACTGTTTGTCACATATTATTTCTTTAGTCACATTTAAGATTCCATCTGTGTTGGCCTATTAGGTTCATCCTTATGTTTATTTTTAAAATATATTTTTATTGATCTCAGAGAGTAAAGGAGAGGGAGAGGGAGAGGGAGAGGGAGAGGGAGAGAGGGAGAGGGAGAGAGAGAGGGGAGAGGGGAGAGAGAGAAAGAGAGAGAGAGAGAGACTTATTTTCCTCCTCTAAAGACACGTGCAAATTTCTGAGAAACAAGATGTAACTTTAAGCAGCAGGGCCCGGGGTTGTAATTCAGTAATTTAATTTAGTAGATGCTGTCATCGCTCTTACTTCGTTGAGCCCTGTGACACTAGTTAGAATAGTGTCATTTCCATACAGTGTTAAAACTAATTAGTAGCTCTCCTGGGGTCTCACCCCATGGGAAACAGAAGACATCAGAGTGATCACCCGATCTCTCCCCTGCCCTGGGCCATCCTCCACACCTGTGACCTCCGCCAGGCTACTGTACTGTAAACACGACATCATCTTTAGATGAAACACGTGTCACTCCAACCTGTTCTGTTCATTATTTCAAATGTCTGTTATTTGGATAATCTTTACTGCCTATATATTTTTTTTCTTTCTTTAAATAATGGCTTTATTGAGATGTAATTTATCTATTTAAAGTACACAATTCAGTGGGTTTTGGTATTTTCAGAGTTTTGCAGCCATCACCACTATCTAATTCTAGGACGTTTTCATCACCCCAAAAAGAAACTCTGTACCCTAATGGTCACTCCCCATTTTCCCCCAACACTGGGCAACCACCAGACTGCTTTCTGCCTCTGTGGACTTCCCTCTTCCGGACATTTCACCTTCCGTGGCTCATACAATATGTGACCCTTGGATCTGGCTCCTTTCATGTAGCATAATGTTTTCAAGTCCATCCGTGTTGTAGTGTGTATCTGAACTTCATTTCTTTGTATTGCCAAGGAATATTCACTATAAGGAAATACAACTTACCTGTTGAACAGTTGATGAACTTTTGGGTTGTTTCCCCTTTTTGATCTGTACCCTAATGGTCACTCCCCATTTTCCCCCCAACTCTGGGCAACCACCAGACTGGTTTCTGCCTCTGTGGACTTCCCTCTTCTGGACATTTCACCTTCCGTGGCTTCTTTCACGTAGCATAATGTTTTCAAGGTCCATCCGTGTTGTAGTGTGTATCTGAACTTCATTTCTTTGTATTGCCAAATAGTATTCACTATAAGGAAATACAACTTATCCATTTAACAGATGACAAACTTTTGGGTTGTTTCCCCTTTTTGGCTATTATAAATAATGCTGTTATGAACGTTTGTGTTCAAGTTTCTACGTGGATATGTGTTTTCATTGTTCTTGGGTATTTGCCTAAGAGTGGAATTCTGGGATCATATGGTAACTCTATGCTTAACCTTTGAAACCAACTGCCAGACTGTTTACCAAAAGCAACGGCCCATTTTACATCCCCAACAGCAGTCAATGAGGTTTCCAATTTGTCCCCGTCATTGCCAATACTTGGTATTACGTCATTTTATTATAGCCCTCTGAGTGGATCATTGTAGTTGACTGACATATTTCCCTGATGGTTCACCCGAGTGTATTTCTTACATTATTACCTTTGCGGAAGAATTGGATGCTATATGACAGAGTACATGCCATAATCATGAATGTACAGATTTTACGATCTTTTGGGTTATTTTTTAAAAATATGTTTTTATTGATTTCAAAGAGGAAGAGAGAGATAGAAACATCAATGAGGAGAGAGAATCATTGATTAGCTGCCTCCTGCACACTTTACATTGGGGATTGAGCCCGCAACCCGGCATGTGCCCTGACCGGGAATCGAAGTGTGACCTCCTCGTTCATGGGTCAGTGACACTCAACCACTGAGCCACGCCAGCCAGGCTCTGTTGGGTTATTGTATTATTTTTTCCCCCTTAGAAAAGAATCATCATATTGAAAAGCTTCATGTTCCTAAAAGAAACCATAGCAACAGGTAACACTTGAGTGCTGTGTACCAGGCCCATGTTGAGTGCTTAACAGAGATCTCATTTAAACTGTGTATTATTATTAACAGAGAAACATAACCTGACTGCATTCCTCTCTAGGAAAAGTCACTCTGGTAATGCAAAGTAAAAGTAGGGGTTCTTTTTCCCTTTATGCCCCAGAGAATCCCTTTGACTTCCAGCCACCTTAGAGCCTTGTCCATTCTCAATAAGGAGTTGCTGAATTCATGACACTTTATTGACTGAGCAGTAGCAATAAATGTAGTTGAAATAATCCATGCGACCAGTTTCCGTTCACGTTCCCAATGTCCGTACATTGCTATCCTTTCTTACTTGTGCAATTTTCCGTTCTTTCTATAGAAATCCTTGGGTGAGGATGATCTGGGTCCTAAAAGGATCGTGGCTCTGCAGAAGGAAGCCCAGGAGTGGGCCCGGCAGGCTGACGAAGCGATCGTCTCTATTCAGGATATCACAGTGAATTATTTTAAAGAAACAGTAAAAGCCTTAGCAGGTAATCATCTAAGACGCCACACTAACATATATGCAATGTTCATCTGAGTGTCTCTTTAGTACCAGGCACTAGGTCCTGGGGGTTCAGTATAAGGCTGCGCATGAACAGACGCTGACCAGCGTGCTGAGGGAGATAAACCTCAGCTACACGTTCATCCAGACGCACGGGGAAATGGCAGTGGCAACAAGCCCATGGGGAAGATAAATAGGGGCTCTGAGCTGAGCGAACACTTAGACTCCATCAGAGTGGGCAGCAGGGGCCTTAGCGACGTGGCAGCGGCCCTGGTATCTGAAGGGTAAATGGGACTTGAGATCACAGCAGGGTGAGGGAAGAGTGTTCCCGGCAGACGTAATAGCACTGACAAAGGCCCTCTGTGTGAGGGAGCCGGGCAAGCGTAGGGACCTTGGAGAACGCTGTGGGGCTGGAACAGAGTGTGCGGGCGAGACCGCAGGATGAGACCCTGCCAGCCCTACGAGCTGGGTAAGGGATGTTTGTCTTTTTTCGTAAATCATTGTTGATGGTAGTTCCAAAGAGGAAAAAACATTGTCTGTCAACCAGTTTGTTAAATCAGAGTATATTCATTCAATAGGATATCACAGGGCTACTAAGTGTGATTCTCTGTTTTATGAATGGCAAGAGTTCCACGATAGAGTAAGTGAAATAAACAAGATATACAGGGTGGGGCAAAGGTAGGTTTACAGTTGTGAATACGTGAAACAAGTTTATCCTTGTTTTATTATTTATTATATTATTTTTTGCTTTATTTTAATTTTTTTTTATTGATTTCAGGGAGAGGGAGAGAGAGATAGAAATATCAATGATGAGAATCATTGATCAGCTGCCTCCTGCATGCCCCTTACTGGGAATCGAGCTGCAACCGGGTATGTGCCCTAGCCGGGAATTGAGCCATGACCTCCTGGTTCATAGGTCGATGCTCAACCACTGAGCTACACCAGCCAGGCTATTCTTTTCTATATGAACAACTATAAAGCTACTCTCGCCCTACCTTGTGAAGAAGTCTAATGATCATGTGGGGTTTTCTTGGTCAAACTATCTCTATAACCTTGTCTGTCTAGTCTAGAGGTATATACACCAAAATGTAAGAAGCAATTACAAGTAGGTGAGATTCATGATGGTTTGCCTCGTTGTAAAAAACAATCAGATATCTGAAATTTTATACCAAGGACCGTGTATTGTCTGTGTGATTAAAAAAAAAAGTCATTAAAATAAACTTTCTTTTAAAAAGGATGTTTTGCAGGTAATATGGGAGGGAATAAAGAATTAGCTCGGGATAAAATTTTCACTTTGTAGTAGGCTGTAATTAAGTTTTATTTTATTCGTTATAATCCGACAGGGATGCAGAAACAAATGGAACAGGATGAGAAGAGGTTTGGCCAGGCTGCCTGGGCCACAGCAACTCCCAGGCTAGAAAGACTCAAGCTCATGTTAGCTCGGGAGACACTGCAGCTCATGAGAGCCAAAGAGCTGTGTTTAGATCACAAAAGAGCTGAGATTCAGGGAAAGGTAAGACACATAAAGGTGACTTTGTTTTAAAAACAGACTTTTATGTTATTTACTAGAGGCCCGGTGCACAAAACTTTGTGCACTCGGCGGGGAGGGGGGTCCCTCAGCCTGGCCTGTGCCCTCTCGCAGTCTAGGACCCCTCGGGAGATAACGACCTGCTGGCTTAGGCCTGCTCCCAGGTGGCAGAGGGCAGGCCTAATCCCTAGGTGCAGCCCCTGGTCGGGGCGGGGGACACAGCCTCTGGCAC